CACACACACACACACACACACACACACACACACACACACACACACACGGCCTTCCCATCAGGCCACCCTGGCCCTTGTCCACAGGCTCATCTCTGGGGCTGGAGCCTTTTGCAATGCCCTGTTGCAATGCCCGTTCCTCCTCTTGGCCCTGGCTCCTGCTGCGGGTCCAGTCAGCTCCAGCCTCACAGCCCTCCCTGCCCCACTGTTCCTCCAGCAGGGAGTCTTCTCTGGCTGGAGTTGGAAGGATTGTCTCCTGCCCATCTCCCGCCCACCTGCGTCTTAATTGCGACTTCTTCCCCTCGCCCCGTCTCCCAGCCTAGAGCTTTGCTCCATCTCACTTTCTCCTGCCCTCCCCAGGAGCCCAGTCCATATTTTGGGAGAAGGGGATGGAAAGGAGGCCTCAGAAGAATGGCTGTGAGTGCTGCTGCCTAGCCTCCTGACCAGCCTGTGCAGTGGGCGGAGCCTGCTGGGAATTAGCAGTGTGTGACCTGCTATTGTTCAAGTGATTACAGGTTGTCTTGAATGAGTGGAACAGCCTCTACCCGCCCCTCCCCCCCCAAGATCTCACCATGATGATGGATGTTTTTATACCCACACCTTCCTTACTGATGCACAGATAAATGTCTCCACCCCAAAAGTCATAAGGTAATTTAATTTTACTCGTGTGTGTGTGTGTGTGTGTGTGTGTGTGTGTGTGTTTGTCCGTCCATGTGTCCATGTCAATGTGATACCTTCAGAGACCAGAAGAAAACTGGAGTTACAAGCAGTTGTAAGCTGTAGGTGGGTGCTGGGAGCTGAACTCTAGTGCTCTGAGCTAGGAAACCATCCCTCCAGCCTCTCACGCCTAAAGCTTTTACTCCTTCAGGATAAGGGCCCCCACATAAAAATAACTGTATCCTGTAAGTGGCCCTAACTCTTACACACTTTCTGTAACACCCCATATTAACCATCAGAATGCCATATCCTCTCTCTTACACTTTGAGTGATGCTTTTTAGCCTAGAAACATATCTCAACATTAAATATCTTTAAGTCAGTTGCTCTGAAAGAATTCTTGTCCGGATACTGGGGAAGCAGTAAAAAAGAAAAGGCAGCCATAGTTCCATCTTCTAAACACAGCCACTGTTAATGCTGTGTTATGACCCATAGTGCCACCTTCTAGACATGGCGAGTGTTAATATTTTTATAACCCATAGCTCCATCTTCTAAACATGGCCAGTGATAATGCTGTGTTGACCTCTGCCCTTTTATTTTAGCATGTTTTGGATCAGATGCTAATACAAAACATCTTTACTTTGCTTTTCAGTACTGAGGATTGTTATCTTAATATTTCTTTATGTTTTAAGATCTCTTTGTAACTTCTTATATTTAATGAATGTAAATTTGTTTTCTGGTTATGAAGGTAGGCCTAAATTTTTTATAATAACAAATTAGGTGAGAAAAACAATAAATTGAGAATAGCTTTCTTACTCACTCAGGATCCAATCCTGCCACCCCACTCACACTTTTTTTTTCCTAGTATCTAAACATTTATTAAATTAGATAAGGACTCTGTGGATTGCTACATACCAACTGTATGCAATTATAAGGGCAAGTCACTTCTCTACAAAGATAGTTAAGACAGGTTCAAAACTTGAAGGCATTTAAAAGCTAGCATACAGATTTAAAGGTCATGTGGATTCCAGAACAGTGAGTCATTACACAGCTCACTACATTCTAATCTTCAAAATCTAGGCTTTTAACCAGAAAGAAATCTGAAGAGTAACAGGTTGTCTCTATTCTTGGGTACATATTTTACCCAAGAACATTAAACCTCTTACCAACTTATGACTTTGATTAGAAACATCTCTTATTATGGCAAAGGATATATATATTGAAAAACCTACCAAAAAGGAGAGAGAGAAAGAGAGAAAGTTTCTCCGTGTAGCCTTGGCTGCCCTGGAACTCACTCTACAGACTACTCTGGCCTCACACAGAGATCCACCTGCCTCTGCCTCCTGGGACTGAAGGTGTGCGCTACCACCACCTGTCATAATCAGAAAGTATTTTCAAAGAGACCTATATGGTAAAAATGCATGCTTTTATCCACATTATGCCTTGAAATCCCGCTAAGTTATGGTGATGGCCAGGTAGGAGCCCAGCCTATGATCTTTTCACTTAGCAATGCTACATGTTTGTACAAGAGAAACACTGACAATAAGAGACTGAGGCTGTGTTACAAGACAGATCAGTGAGGCTGTAAAATAACCTGTTCTGTGCCACTTGGCTGAGTGGCACTAAGACCTTGTGACCCTAGTGGCTTTTTCTCAGGTGGCAGAACTGCCACTGTGACAGCTGGCTGTTGATTAGATGCAAAATGATGGCTGGCTAGAAGTCTTTGCTGCTAACTGATCTTGTTCATATGTGCATCGTTCATAGCCACCACAGTGATGGTAAGGCTCCAGTCACTCAAGAAGTTTGCTTCTTTCCTTTTTCAAATTTTATTTTATTGAGATTTGGAGCTTTGAATCCTGGAGTTTGTGCATCTCAGCAACATCCCTAGGCCTTGAAGAGTCTATTTTGTGTGCACATTGGTCTACCTGCATATACACCTGTACGCCAGAAGAGGGCACCAGATCTCACTATAGCCACCATGTGGTTGCTGGGAATTGAACTCAAGATCTCTAGAAGAGCATCCAGTGCTCTTAACCTCTGAGCCATCTCCCCAGCACTGTAACTCCATTTTTAAACCTCTGATTTTCCACTTAGTATTATATCCCATGTGTACTCCTATGTTCTGTGGGGAAAAGGTCTCACTATGCATCTCAGGCTAGCGTGGCACTCACAGCCATTCTCCTCCTCCGGCCTCCTGAGATGAGCCACTCTGCCCACTTCTCTAGTGTTTTTCATCCTGTGTTTTTATATAGCTGAGTGGAGTTGTATGGAGGCATCATCATTTACCTAGCCTGCCCCTGAGCTGTGAAATCTTCACTTCCAGCCCAGTATGGTGGTTTGCACCTGTAATCTCAGGTACTTGAGAGTTGGAGGCAGGAGTGGGAATACAAGGTCAAGGCCAGTGTGAGTAATTTAGTTGAGGCTCCGTGTCCAAAAGGAAGGACTGGGTCACTGGCTTCTTAGGTAAAGGTTGCCATGCAAGCTTGAGAGCCAGCATACAGGTCCTCAGAACACATGTAATGCTGGCCCTAGGGAGGCAGGGACAGAGATCCAGAGCAAGCTTCATAGCTATCCTAGTCAGCAAGCTCTGAGCTCAGTAACGAACCCTGTGCTAGTAAATAAAGCAGAGTGATGGAAAAAGATATCTGACATCAACCTCAGCTACCACATACAAGCACACACATCTGCAAACATGGATATATGCTTACGTACACACGCGCACACACACACACGCTCAGAACAAACAAAAACCTGGAAAAAGTTATTTCCAGTTTAAGGTACTACAAATTACACTAGGATAGACCCTTTGGCACATCACGCTTTCAGTACATTTCCGGTTCTTTTAAATGGCTTACAGGATACAGAATAACCTGCACTCCTGTGTGTTTGCGGAGAGTCTCCGGGAAGGCTACAGCAGCAAAACAGACATTTTAAAGCTGCTTTGCTGTAAGTTTGCTAGGTGGGCTGCTGTCTGTCAGAGCTGAGCCCAGAGCACAGGACTAAGTCCTTCCTACGGAAGTACGCTGGCTCATGCCAGTACTAACTGCCTGTCTTTGGCTCTCCAGAAGAAGAGGAGGTGGAGCTGGAGGAGTTCCTGTGCCCGGTGAAAACACCTCCTGGACTGGTGGGTGCAGCTGCTGCCTTGCAGCCTGTCCCTGCCATGCCTTCAGCCCTTCAGAACATCTCTCTGAAGCATCTGGGGACTGAAATACAGTAAGTGCCAGTGGGGATAAGAGGCGGCCAGACCACCAGCGCCCCTTGCTGTGAGCTTCATCTGGTGAGAGATGGGACAATGTAGCATCATGGGCTTATTTTCAACTAACCACATTGTGATTTAAAAATATGCCGTGTACTGCAATCCCAGCGCTCGGGAGGCAGAGGCAGGAGTGTCATGAGTTCTAGGCTGGCCTGGGCTACATAGTGAGATCTTGTTTCAAAATACAAAAACAGCCTCAGCTGTTAAAGCACTTGCCACTCAAACCTGGTGACCTGACGTCCTGGAATGCGCATAAAGATGGACGGAGATTACCAACTCCATAGAGCTGTCCCCACATGTATTGTGGCACAAGCACCAACCCATCGCACCCCGCCCCACATACCACGCGCCCACACACATGCCACACATAGTAATAGACAACATTTTAAAAGGAAAAATCATTAAAAATTACCCATAGTTTTGCCAGTCACCACGCTTAGCAGGTGGTATATAGCTCCGTATGTTCATGTATACTGAGATCACATCAAATGATGATTTCACATCAAATTATTTCCATCACACACGCTTTATCATGTGGGTCATGGCTACTACTTTGTGGTGGAGAGTGCTGAGACAGTGTCTTACTCTGCAGCCCCAGGCCAGCCTGACACTTACCCTGTAGCCCCAGCTGGCCTTGAACTTGCAGGAATCCTCCAGCCTCAGCTTTTTGAGTGTTGGCATCACAAGTGTGAACCACCATGCCAGGTCCTGACTGGCACTTTTAAAAATTGTTTAAATTCTTTTTCTTTTAATTTTTTATTTTGTTACTTTATGTCCATGTATGTCTGGGAGGATAGTGATGTTCTTCTCAGGAGAGAAGCAGGCTTTAGAGAAAAGAAGAGGTGTGTCCTCTGGGGCCTGCTGGTAGGAGAGAGGGCTAATTCACAGACATTTGGACAGAGGTGCATGGAGCCCAGAAGAGGGGTCTGAGCCGGAAAGAGAAGCCTGGGGGACATGCAGCATAGATGAGCACCGCAGGGTTCAGGGCTTATCTCTCTGAAGATGCTGAGGACCTGAGTGTGCTGGGAACGCGCTGAAGGGAAGCAGAGCCTGGCAACACTGCAAGCTTAGCTCCCTGCACTGCCAGGGGTGTGGCGAAGCGAGAGCCGCCCGGGTGCCCAGCACAGGTCATCCTCAGGGGACAGGATGAGGGGCATCCTGAGCACTGCCAGAGGCTTTGGGACAAGTCTGCATTGAGCCACCGTGTGTTCCAGTCAGGTGTGACACTCAGGTCTCCTCCCTTACTACCAGGGCTGTTGTGAGATGAAGATGAATGATGCGTGGACTGCATCATTGGGTCAGTCTTAGGACTTGGCCTCGGGGAGGGCTCCACCCCACCACAGAAGAGGCAACCCGGGAGCATAACTGGCTCACTCGCTGCTGTCCTCCTTGGTGGTTATCACCCTTTGTGCTGGCCAAGCCTCCAGAGCAGAGCTGAGCTGAGCTAGGTATTCCTCTCATACTATGAGCAAATCCAGGAAAGGGCCTCTTTGGTCCTGGCTGGTATCTCTCTGGGACAGGGCGCTTGCTCTCTACCTTTTACCACCTTCTAGGTGGCCACTACTCAGCTGAGCCTCTGTCCCTGGAGGAAGCATCTTTGTACCTTCAACTTGGCTCGGAGCGATTCAGAATGGGTAAGGAGGATTCCAGGCTGATAAAGAGGAGAAAAGATAAAGCACTCTGGGAGGCAGAGGCAGGTGGATCTCTGTGAGTTCGAGGCCAGCCTGGTCTATAGAGTGAGTCTAGTACAGTTGAGGCTACACAAAGAAATTCTCTCTCAAAACAAAACAAACAAACAAAGACTATAAGCTAAGCGCTGTCATTCATTTGTCTCTGCTTTCTGATTGTGGATGCAGCATGCCCAGCTACTGCCTCCATACTTTCCTGTACTGCCTCCATACTTTCCTGTACGGGACTACCTGGTTGGTTATTTTTTTTCCAAGACGGGGTTTCTCTGCCTTGGCTGTCTTAGAACTCACTCTGTAGATCAGGCTGGCCTCGAACTCATAGAGCCTCCTGCCTCTGCCTCCCAAGTGCTAGGATTAAAGGTATGCGCCACCTAGCTGGACTTACCTGTTCTTAAATTTCCATCCAGAATAAGCCCTGCTTCCTTGAGTTGCTTTCCTCCCTTAAAGCTGGGGCCTTCTTGCTCTCCCATACCCAAGGTTCACTAGTCCCAAGCTCTGAGGCATGCCGGGGAAGCTAATTCCTAACAGAGGGAAGTGTGGGCAGCAATGACAGTCATCCCGCTCAGCCGGTGCCTCTGGCTATGGCATGTATCCCTGGATCCATCTCCAACTTCTGTAGCTTGTGCCCTTGAGTCCATGCAGTGCTCAGGACTCTCTGACCCCCATTGCAGACGCTGATGATCTTTCCAGTGTGCCCACGGGGCTTTTATTTTCAGATGAAGGTAGTAAGAACCAAGAAGGGAAATGACCAGCCCAAAAAGCCAGGGGTCCTTTGTGATGGGGTCTTAAAAATAAATGCAAGAACAGATTATTAGGACTGTAATACTGATCTTACTTTAACCGATGACTATATTCTTTATCAGTCCATGAAAATACAACCCCATTCTTTCCCTACCCTGAACCAAGCAGACTGGATCTTCTTTTAGAACTACATTTCAGGCTGCTGAGATGACTCAACAGATAAAGGGCTTTGCTGCTAAATCTGATGACCTGAGTTCAATCCCTGGGACACACTTAGAACTAACGCCCAAAAGTTTCCCTGACTTCCGCACATGTGCCATGGCATATGTCTGAATAAAATAAAATGGTTTTTCGTTTAAAAGCCCAACTAAACTGATAACTTTTAGCTAGGTCAAGAAAGGGGAGAAAATTCAGATTGCCAAAGTTGGAAACAAAAAAAGAGGGTCATTACTACAAATCTTAGAGAAATAAAAAGGATTACAAGGGCCAGGCGTGGTGGCTGAGACAGGAAGATTCTGAGTTCAAGGTTTGCCTGGGCTACTTAGTGAGTCCCTATCAAAAAAGAGACAGGGTCCAAGGAATTGCTGTGAACAACTGTAATGCCAGCAAACTTGAAAACTTAGATGAAATGGAAGAACTTCTAAGAAGACACAAATTGCTGGGACTGACTGAAAAAGAACTCAAAATTTGAGTAGACCCCATAACTAGTAAAAAGCCTGAAGGGATAGAGAGGCTTCCCAGACAGTTCTATGGGCATCTGAAGAAGAGAGGTGGGGGAGGGGTGTTGCTGAGGTGCTTATCTGGTCTGTGTACCCACATTTCTTCTCACCCCTGTCCGAGCTCGTGTCCATTATCAGGCTCCGTCCCTGACCCCTTCCTTTTCGGGGACCTGAACTAGATTCTTTTGTTTTGTGCTTCTCTATCATCTGAGCATTTGTGGAATGAGAGTTTTCCAGAGTGGCTTGTCTATCACATTGCTCAGAGGGACAGCACAACCAATCGAACCAGGGGCCACAGGTCTGTTGACTTTCATATCCCCTGTCTGAACACCTCACCCCACTGCCCCTTAGTAAGTGCCCTCTGGGTGCAGCATCAACTGAAATGGTAACTGGTCAGAGTGAAAAACTAGTTGTTGCAATAGTTCAGAACAAATTTCTGCAATCCACAGAAAGCATTAGCCGTCGCTAGATGGGGTAGCTCTTAATGTTTTCTTTCTTTTCCCTCACTCTTAGAAAAAGAGTCACCGTATCAAATTTATTTCATTTTTTTCCTATCCTTTATCTAAGGCAGAAAACGGTCATGGATACCCTGTGATTGGGTCAAGAGAAACCTAGCTGGGGACATAGCTCAGTAGCTCAGTCTGTGAGTCCTTGCCTCTCGGACTCACTGGAGCTCTGTGTTTGATGCCTAGCACCACAGGGCAGAAAGAGCTGAAGTCCAGAGTCATCCTCTGTCACATAGTAAGTTTGTGATGCGTGAGATGCAATCTGAGATGCGTGAAACCCTGACTCAAGAATTAAAAAAAAGTTAAAAGAAAGGACTAGAGACATGGCTCGGTGGTAACTTGCTGTGCGAACAGGAGGACCTCAGGTCTCTGAAACCTGTCCCCAGCTGGAGCCCTGGGGAAGCAGGGACAGGAAGCCTCCGGGGCTCACTGCCAGCCAGTCTAGCTGAGCGGCAAGCTCTGGGTTCCCTGAGCGACCCTGTCTCAAAAGAAAAAATAAGTGGATGGTGAGTAAAGAAAATACCTAATGTTCAGCTGTGGCCTACACACATACACAGGACGTGGGACTGGAAGCCGAGTTTAACCTTTTTTTTCTGCGTGGCAAAATGATTTTAATCATGAGATCACTGTGGGATCACAAACAGGAACATTAAGAATACATTTAAATCAGGCACTTGATTCTTAACCTCTTACATCTATATTGAAGCAGATCTCAGGAAATTCCAAAGACCCTTGCCTTCAGAACCCCTCCTACAAGACTCCATTGGGAAACACGCATGCTCTGAGCGTGGCTCTCAGAAGCCATGGTCTTCCCTGCCGCAAGCTGTGGCTGCCCTCCCTGGGCAGGTGTGGCTGCGTGGCCTATTTCTTGTAGTGCACAGGTCCTTTCTTCTTGCCCAGCCTGTAGTTTCAAACAGTTCACTTAGTTCTCTTTTTCTCCACCTTGCTATTAATTTCCAAATCAGTGTGCTTGTATCTCTTTACAGGGAACTCAAGCACCTGAACTAGCTCTCCAGCTGGTGGGCCTCAAATTTGCTGTAATCTGTACTCTCAGGCCAGCCTCTGGTGCTACCTCGTTCTTTTCTGTAACTCACACAAACGTTAAGCCTGGGCTGGGGCCGCAGCCTCAACAGGTCATTGGCTGAACCTGGCCTGGGCACCACTGTAAGCCCCTTGGTAGCCATGAGTCAGAGGAACCTGCAAGGCAGGGTGGGTCTGGGTCCGGGAAGAGAGCGAAGACAGTTAGCTGTCAGGAAATGCTTACAACATGCCTCAGCAGAGCTGGGAGCCGCAGATGGCCTTTGGACACGGTAGTTAGGAGACCAGAGGGTTTGGGGAAGTTAGGTTGGCAAGTCCATTCAACATCTGTTCAACAAACATGGAGCAATTTCTTCTTGCAGGCACAGTTCTAAGTCTACCGGTGGGCAGGATGACAAGTGAGGAGCTCACGCCGCAGCAACAGGGTTGGGGTTTCGGGAACCAAGCTTATACAAGAAGCACAGCAGCCAGAGCTATCGTGAGCTTGCAGGAGCTGTGCTTACCCGTGCCCGACCTGTACAAAGCCAGTCTGTAATTCCAGCATCAATGAGGGAGGGGCCCATGAGGCTCCACCCACAGCTGAAGAGCTATTGGCTACTGGGCAACTGGTGGCTGCTGGGGGAGGGAGCGTCGTTGTTCTGAAGGGTTGTGGCTAATAGGTTGTCTGTGCTTGGACTCAGTAGGAAGGGAATATAATATGTTGGGGGTGGGGGAGCTACAGGAAAATCCTGAATTTTCTGGAGTGGGGAGGCCGGGGAGGATATTGTCAAGATACATTGTAGGAGCTCAGGGAAATGGTTCAGCAGTTGGGAGCACTTGTTCTTGTAGAAGACCGCCCTCTGCCCTGGATTCAATTCCCAGTGCCCACATGGTGATTTCTCTGTAACTTCAGTTCTAAAGGATCCAGTGCCCTCTTTTGACTTCCACAGACACCAGGAATACACGTGGTTCGCAGACATACATGTAGGCAAAACACTCATAAAATGAACCTAAAAAATGTTTTAAAGATACACTTTATATATGTATGAAATTCACTAAGAATAAAAGGGTGGGGAAGTGTAGTGTGGAAGGGGGTAAATGAGAAGGGGGAGGGGCTTGAGACGGGGAGGTGGGTATGTGGGGGTACGTGGTTTCTCATTCAGAGGGAGCCTGGGCTTTGGTACTCTCCCAGGAAGCTTGGGCCCCAAACCAGAAGTGCACACTCCAAGTGGAAAAGGCAAAGCACAGGGTTAAAGGAGCTCAGGGCTCCAAAATCGGAGCCAGGCAGCAACAAGGGCCCGGCAAGACTTGGGCAAGTCGGTGGCTGTAGCAGCCGGTTAAGGATGCTCTCTTGGAACTCCAAAGCAGAGAGAAGCAGAGGCTGGAGCCAAGTTTTGTCCAATCAGACAAAATGGCTGTTTCAAGAACAGCTATTTTGCTTGCTTCTACAGATGGACACTGTGGTGGGCTAGCAAGGTGGTAGCAACCTGAACTGACACACCAGTGAATGGAGGAAACTTGAGGCAGCCAGCAGCACATGGCTGACTGACCAGCATTCAAGCCTGGGGATCTAGCAGAGATTCTTTAGGGAGGAGGGGAGCCCTTCTTTCCCCAGAGCAAATGATGAATCTCAGATGGTCATGGTGAAAAGCTGATGGTAGTACATTTATTTAGTGTGAAATCAGGGATTTATAAACTTTGGGCAGTGGGGGGGGGGGAGTTTTGAGGGTGAATGTGTTTGATTTTCTGGATCTAGGGGACCCAGGGATACTTCATTTACATGTAACAACACAGCCCTGTCATGAGAGGGGGAAGACAGTACTTAATTATCCTATGGGTGGGGAAGAACTCTGGGTAAGATTAACGGTCATTGGTTGAAAGCCAAGACACCAAGACAGCTCATTAGCATAGGGTGGGTGTCTCCAGGAATCCCCAGGTACACACTGCATGGGTTTCTTATCAGGGAAGGGTTGTGTGGCCCTCCTTAGAGGATCTGGGGTTTCCCAGATTAGGCGAAGAGGGAACCCAGCTGAGAAAGGGAGTCTGTCACCTTGTACCCAGCTCAGAGGCAATCTAGAAATGAAAGACTTCCCGACCTTAGCCTCAGTGTCCCACAGAGATGCACCACACAGGATGCTGAGTGTAGGGACCAGTCAGGGCACCAATGACGATGGAGCCCCAGCAAGGGCAGAGGTTGCCTGGCCTCATGCCCCTCCCTTCTCCTTCCAGGAATACCATGCACAACATTCGTGGCAACAAGCAGGCCCAAGCAGCGAGCCACGGACCACTGGTGGAAGAATCGTCACAGAATCCGGAGCCTCAAAGGGGGGAGCAGCCCTTCATCTCTGACCCCAGCATTCCAGGTGAGCTCTGTCCAGGTCCGAGACCAAGCCCCGTCTCCTCCCTGCCTGCAAGAGTGTGCATGTGGCTCAAGGAGAGCCATCACTGTGGCTGTCATTGTTAGGTGGAAGCTAAGGAGTCCAAGGTCCACGTGCTGCTGATTTTGATTCCAGTAAAGGTCTCTTCCAGGCCTGTAGACAGTGGTCGCTCTGTCCCCTGAGGTGGTAGAGAGAGCTCTCAAGTTCTTCTTCTAAGGGCACTAATCCTTTCATGGGGCTCCACCTTTGTGCCTTCATCTAAATTAGTTAAGGCCCTGCCCCCCAATGCCATCACACTGCTGACTAAAGCTTCAGCCTGGGACTGTAGGAATACAAACATTCAGTCCTTAGCAGTGCGTGTTATGTGACAGATTTTTCCTGGAGAGATGTAAAACACACACATACACACATACACATACACGCACAAGGGAACCCATGACAGACCAAAATAACGATTACACCAAGATCCAAATTAGCTCAACCAGTGAGATATTATTGGGGTTACCAACAGGAGTATTATGGTGGGGAGATACTTTAAAAGGTCAAGGATGACTCAAGAAAAAAAAAAAAAAAAAAAAAAAAAAACCAACTGCATCAATAGAAAATGCCCAACAGAGACTCCAGAAAGCTGCAAGCCACAGCACCGCAGCGGTCTGTGTATGTCTTCTCTCCTTAGTTGGGTTGGTCAGCCTCCCTCTCACCCCACCCCCCAGCAGCAGTCTCCCCAGCTTTACACTGCTGGGGAGGGGCCTCAGGAACCTAAGTTTCTGTTCTCAGCATGAGTCCTCTTTGTTTACCTTCTGAGTCTTGACAACCTCTACCCAACCCCAGGTCTCCAGAAGTTGAAGAGCAAGGGTTTGGTTTGTTTCCCTCTTGAGACTGGGTCTCCTGTATCCCAGGCCTCTGACTTGTAGAGCTGAGAAGGAGCTTGAATTTCAGATCTTCTACCTCTGGCCCCTGTGCTGGGATGCAGCGCCACATCAGGCTTCAGGGTGTTTTATTGTAGTAAAATATACCTAACAAAGTTTTTTCATTACACCATTCTGTGCTATTAAGTACATTCACACTGTCACGTGACTACCACTGCCATTTGTCCCCAGAATGACAGAATTCCTAGTAATGATTCACAAATAAGCGAAGTCTATTTCCCCCTTCCTTAGTCGTAAGGAAAATGCAGAAAGGTGCTGTTGCCTCACATCTGTACGAGGCACCTAGAGGTGGATGGAGCGTTTTGCTGTTTCTGCCCATCCTGACGCCCATGTCTCTCTCCTCAAGCAGGAAAAGAGCCAGAGGATCCTCCGAAGCCCACACCCAGGTCCTCTGCACCCTCGGGTCCCATGCAGAAACCTAAGCGGCAAAGCAACACCTTCCCATTCTTTTCTGACGGGCTGGCTCGGAGCCGTACAGCCCAGGAAAAGGTGGTGGCGCTGGAACAGCAGGTGCTGGTGCTCACCAAAGAACTCAAGTCACAGAAGGTGAGCTCCAGCCCCTTCCTGGGAGCCCCGTTGTGACCCCCACCCCAGCCCTTGAGCCCTACCGATAGCTCTGTGCAGTAGCACCTCAACCCAACCCGGCACAGCTAGTCTGTGGTCTCCAGAGGACAACTGTAGAGTCGGAAGTGCCTCACTGTCAGTCGCTCGGAAACATGCTGTCCACAAACTAGGTGTGGCAGGCCACCAAAGGACAGGTCTCTGGAGACTTAATGTAATTGCTGATTCTTGGATACCTCTTAGAGGGGCTTGGGCGGTCTGACCCACTATGAAAGAAAGGCAGGGCCTGGGGTGCTGTCTGGATGTACAGGGAGGGTGCTCGTACCTTATGACCATGTGCGGGTACTTGAGGGACTGACCCAGGACAGAAAGCTGGCAGGACTGTCAGAGGACAGTGGCAGGAGAGGTAATTTCATTTTTGCATGAGAAGTTCACTGTAGCAGTTACAAAAAGGGGACATGTGGCCATCATGGAAAATAAGGGGCTTGTGCCCAGAGGCACTAACTTCATTCAGAAGGCTCAACTCTGCAAGTGTTTATGGGTAAAGGCTGCTCTGTGACGTAAGCGTCAGTGGCAGGGATGTGGGAGAGCTGCCGCACCCAGCAGGTACCTCTCTAGCATGATGAGAGTGAGGGTCTCACAGCCGTTATCGGAAAGCCCAGGTGGGGCCTTGGTGGGCACCTTTGCCCCTGTGAGGAAGGCGGAAGCTTGATTTGAGCTCCGGCTGCCCTGAGCCCCCTCCTGCTTACCTCCCTGGCCCTAGCTGCACAGGACTCAGGCTGGGGTGGGCCATGTGGTCTGTACTGCTAGGTCTTCAGTCCCTTCTTGTGCTTCCTGCCCTGTGTGGGGAGGCAGCAGCTGAGAAAAGCCCTCTCTGCATACCTAACCTCGCCCCTCACAGCAGGCCAGGGTTAGGTTAGCGAAGTAGATGGTGAGGAGAGAGCTGCTTTCATTCGTGCATCTTCACCTCAGGCCCGGAGCGTGCGTGCAGTGTGCTAGTGTCGGGAGAAAAAGAGTGAAGGCCACAGGCCCGAACAGCATGCATTGCACAGCAGAGGCAGCTGTGGGGTCAAAGAACACCCAGACATGTACTTGCTGCATGTGACATCCTATGTGGGGACATGGCAGTGATGGGGGGTTAGGTCTTCCTCCTGTCTTGTGGCTTTCCTGTCATGAGAGGGCTGGAACTGTACTGTAGCTGTGTATCCCTGGACTCATGTAGCTGATCCAAACTCGGAAGAAAAAGAAACCCTCACCGTTCACACTGCCTATCCTGTCACCGCATCTCCCTCCTTCCTAGAATATGTAGGCAGCCCGCCCCTTACCTAGCCTTTCTTTCTAAGGCATAACAAATGGCCAGCGGTACTCAGGAGGGCCTTGGAGACCCTCGTACCTCTGGGAGCTCCCTGCCTTCCATAAAGGAAGGTAAGACTCTTAGAGGCCTGTAAGGGTGGCCAGGAAACACACATTCCAAGGGAGGAGGGGATGAGGAAGTTGCTTGGACCTTTCAGATTTTTGCCGGGTAACTTTCCAGGAAAACTGTCTGCTGGGGCAGATGTCTGGGAGAAAGGGGTTTGTGGTTTAGCCTCTGACATACAGTCCTAGTGAGCTTTCCTGCCCCAGCGCCTCTCATGCACACACAGCAGCCTCACATTGACTCCCAGCACAGGCCCACGTTGTGACCATGGCGTGTCTGTTAACCTCCCAGCCTGCAGAGGCCCAGGTCTGGACCCTAAGGTCAATGCCTGGCACCCCACAGTGCCCCACAGCTTCATGTGTGGCCAGCAGGCTCTTACTTTGATGCTCCCAGCCTTTTGTGTTGGTTCCTCCTCACTTACTACGAGCAGGTCCCCTCCCCTGGCCTCTGAGGAGATGGTGGAGTGACCCTGTCAGAGCTTCCTAGAAACATGTTCCTGACCTAGTCATGTGTGGGAGCTCAGGCCACCCAGCTCCACCAGCCCTGAGTGTTCAGCAGTGGGCCAGGCACCAAAGGCAGGAGGGAAGAACAGGAGACCAGCTGCTGGCACCAAGGTGGCCAGGGGCACATGAGCAGAGAAGCTGTTTTCTGCTAGGGTAGCCAGTAGTACCTGGAGTCTGGTACCTAGCACTAGAGATACTGGGCAGAGAGGGATTCACTTCAGACCCTCAGTCTGTTCTAGTTTGCTTTTTTGTTGTCATGGTAAAAACAATGATCAAATGCAACCAAGTGGATCGGTGATTCTCAACCTGTGGGTCAGGACCCCTTTGGGGGTCACACCTAAGACCACTGGAAAGCAGAGATGTTTATGTTACTATTTCTAACAGTAGCAGAATTACTATTACGACGTAGCGACAAAATGAGGTTATGGCTGGGAGTCCCCACACCTCGAGGAACTGAATTAAAGGGCGACAGCATTAGGACGGTTGAGAGGCACTGGAGTAGATGAACATCAATGAACTCAGTGGCCCTGTGAGAATCTGTACCTCGAATTTTACACTGTGGGAAAGCACACTGGCACCCAACCCCCGCCCTCAAAGACTGCCATCCGGTGGGGAAGAGAAGCTGGAGTATGCTAGCTGCCGGTGCCAGGGTTGTGGGGCCCCTGCGCAGGGCTGTCTGGACACCTGCTGCAATGCTGACCACAGATGCAGGGCCACCCTCCCCTCCTGAACAGGAAACTGCAGGTCTGATGGTCTGAGAGCTCTCCATTCCCACGCTTCCCAGGGGCCCAACCTGGGCTCAGAGTCTGATCTTTCACCGCTAGGCCTCAGTCCTTTCACTGCTTGCTCAGAGGGCTTGCAGGTGGTGACTTGACTGAGGTGCGATGCTACAGGTCTGGGCTGCTGCCTGCCTTCCTCCCCTGTCTCATGGCCTAGCATCATACGCAAGTGTCAGGACTGATCTTGGATGGCATGAGTGCACTCTCAATGCCAGTACATCCACTGGGGACTCTGAAGCCCATTAAACCATTATCCATCTTGGCAGCCCCATTGCTGGCCCTGCAGAGGTTTAGACTCTGGCAGACAGCTCCAGGTGGCAGGTTGCCTAGGTGCCTCAGGCCCCTGAGCCGACAGTCACGCCCAGTTTGAAAGCTGTCTTCCCTGGCAGATGGCTGACTGTTGGCTAGCGTTGGCAGCCATCTGTTAGCTGCTAGGAAGGTTAGACCCCAACAGAGCCACATAGGAAACTTAGTGGGGACAATCCTTCAACCCCATTCCCCAAAACTCTAGCCAGAAATTTTAGAGTGCCTGTCTGCAGATAGGACCTGGCCTTGACTTGGAGGGAGGGCTGGGAGATATCCTGGTCAATGCAACTTGAGGGAAGGCTTTGACACTTCTTCTTGAGGGCAACTCTGTGTGAAACTGGTGTCCTTATCACCAGACTGACTGTAAGAAAGCTGACACTCTGTGAGGTACCCAGCCGGAAGCCATCCTGTTATATCACCCCTCCTTGGATCCATCAGGCTGTTGTTTGTGATTGTAGCAATATGCCTAAGGCAAGCTGCTTATTTAAAAAAGATTTGTTCTGTGACAAGGTTCCCCTGTATTGTGGGCTTACAAGTACACATAGCCACACCTGGCTTGTGTTAGGCAAGAGCCCTACCAACACCTGGGATGGCCTTGTTGGCAGAATTCTGAGACAATTTAGGGTATCACATGACGAGAGACAGGGAGATCTGTCTGTGTGTGTGTCTGTGTCTGTCTGTCTTCTGGCTTTCTTCTTCACCAGCCACCAGCAGGATTCAGTGGTGGGAACTCCATCCTCATGACCTTATCTAATGCTACTCACCTCTGAAAGGCCCCAGAGGCCCAAGGACTGTTTTCTCCCTTTTAATAGCTTCCAGTGAGACCACAAATCAATATATGGAGCAGAGTGTGAGGCCTGTGTTAACTTCCCAGCCACGCTCCCGAGTGTCACACAGCGATGCGCATATTGGTGCACACAAATCAAGGCTAAGCTGAAAGGATGACTTATGGCCTTTTAAAATGAAAATAGGCTCATGGCCAGGTATGAAAATCTGAGATGGGCCAGGCAGCAGTTAGATTGACACATCTCTCTCCATCAGCTCCTCTGCTTCCTGTAATGGGTCCTCAGGCAATGCTTATGATGGTGGAAACCAGGAACCACCTCGTTGTTTCTCTGCAGGGACCCAGGCTACCCCACATCAGTAGAGTGTGGGTCCAGCGTGAAGCAGGCTTGGTGGAACACCCTTGTAATCACAGCACTCAGGAGGTGGGGACCATCCTTCATCACACAGCAAATTTCTGAGGCTACAGGAGAGTCTGTCTCAAAAGCAATGAACCACAGTCTTTCCTCAGCTTTTTTCTGTGGTATGTGTGGAAAGAGTAAAATCAGTTTGCATGGGGTGGATATCAGCCTGGCTTGTTGCTTTTGTAGTTGGTAGGTCACGTGGTGATGACACTGTAAAACTGTCCAGCCTTCTCTGATCCTGCTCTCATTGTGCACCTGGTTAGGCCCATCTATGAGAGTCCTCACAGACATGGCACACCGCAGTTTCTTAAAAGGTGAGCTCTTGAGCCCTTTGTACTAATACAATCGGTGCTGGTTCTAAATGGTAGTTTTATATTGTTTCAGGTCATCAAAAATTTTCATAAGAAGCATGATGTCTTGGGTCAGAAAAAAAGTAATATAACTCTGTGCCTTTGTAACAGTTGTACTGTGGTCCTGGGCTGGAGCCCAGGCCATGCCCATGCGAGGCGAGCACTCCAGAATTGTCTACCCCAGCCTACCTACCATTTGTATTCTTAAGAGTATTTGTTCACTATGGACCTGTGTGGTTATTTTTTTTTAAATTATTACATTAAAATGGTTCAGTTACTACATATTTTGGCACCCCCCTCACAACTTTGAACAATTTAAACCCTAGTAAACAAACAAACAAACAAACAAAACATAAAACAGGACTACCTGGGGTATGGCTCAGTGGCAAAGCACTTATCTAGCATCTACAAGGTCCTGGGTTCTAGGCCCAGCGCCACCAAAAACAAGCAAATAAAAAAAGTAACCTAAAATTTATAGTTTGTCTCTAGGTTTGTGGTTTGGTTTAGTTTGGTTTGGTTTGGTGTCTTTGATCTCCCTGTCTCTGTTTCCCAGTGTTATGACCATAGCTGCATGCCATTACATAGCATCCTGTAGCCATTTTGGAGTACTCAGGTCTGCAATGTTATATATGCTCATATTATGCAACAGATCTCTCTCCTTCTTGCAAAGTGAAAACCTGAACCATTCAGCAGCTCCACCCCTGCTACCCGGCTTGGGGACCACGTTGTTCTCAGCTCTGTAGTTTGACTACTCTGGTTTTCCTCTGACCTGCAGAACCGCAGCCATGTTTGTGGCTGGATAGTTCTGCTTAGGATGCCCTCCTCACAGGTTCATTCCGAGCTGAAAAGGCGGCTCATGGCTAAAGGCATTTACCACCAAACCTAATGACCTGAGTTCAATCCTTAGGACTGGTGGAAAGAAGAGAAGCAACTCCCGTCTACAAATGGGCACACACAGAGACATACACACATAATAATTAAATATTTAAAAAAAAAATTTTTTTAAGGGGGCTGAAGGATGGCTCAGAAGTGAAGAGCACTGGCTGCTCTTCCAGAGGTCCTGAGTTCAATTCCCAGCAACCACATGGTGGCACACAGCTATCTATGATGAGGTCTGGTGCCCCCTTCTGGCGTGCAGGCACACATGTAGGCAGAATACTGTATACATAATAAATAAATATTTTAAAAAATTTTTAACTTTTTAATTAAGGTTTTCATCCCTGTGGTAATAAATGTCAAAGTTCCTTCTTTTTAAGTTTGAATAATATTCCCTTGTGCATTTTTTTGGTGTTTTGTTGTTGTTTTGTTTTGTTTTTTCAAGACAGGTTTCTCTGTGTAGCCTTGGCTGTCCTGGACTCACTTTGTAGACCAGGCTGGCCTTGAACTCACAGAGATCCACCTGCCTCTGCCTCCCCAAGTGCTGGGATAACAGGCGTTCGTCACCGCGCCCAGCTTATAGCCCCTTTGTTGATACAACACATTTGGTTTACTTAATTGTTCACCGGTGATAAACCCATTGGGTTGTCATAATGAGGTCTGTGTAGCTGGCCTCAAATCTCTGATCCTCCCAACAGCTAGCACTGGAGGTGTGCCCCGCCACACCTGGCTCTTGGCTATCTTGGCCAATACCGCTACGTTTTGAGCAGCTTCCACTTCAAAGAGAAACGGAAAGAAGCATTCTGCTGCAGAGCCCGTGTACTAGAGGCATCGAAGCCAGGGCTCCTGAACTGGGACATGGGAGCCCTCTGCTCGGCCCACTGACTCTGTACTCTTAGCTTTTCTGTTGGTCTCGGTCTCCATGTGATGATGGCACGGTGGCTGGGCAGACGGTCCACAGGTCTTTCTGGTCTCCAGGTGTCCCATATCTCTGAGCTTCCTGTGAGGCTGCCTCCTCTCCCCAGGCTCCTTTCTCCCAAGCATGTCTTCTGGTGTAAGGATAGGGTGAAGTGGTGGTTGGGTTCCTGGCTGGAAGCCTGATTGGATCTGCTGAGACTTGAGTGACAGAAGGGGCCCACTGGCTGTAATGTGCTAGCTTCCAGATCCTTCAAAGCTGGGGAAGATGCTTACTGGCTTCTGGTCCAGAGCAAGACTCAGACACTATGGTGTCTGTGACTATTTCATGTTGCAGTGACCCAGGGCCACCTCACAGTCTCAGATAGACCCTGGAGCCATAGGAATGTTAATCTCTCACTAGAGCCCCAGGAAGCTGTTTCTCCACTTTGGGACATTCCAGATGTAGTGGTCTGGTGTGCATTGTGTCCCCAACCCCACCATCTGGCCACACTCAGCAGCTCCTGAGGCTCTAAATCTGCCCTTTCTGCTCCCCAGGCCTTTGCTCAGACTGTCTTTTGAGCTTTCTTTAGGGGCCTGGCCTGGAAAGGCTTCCCCACCCTCACCTCCCTCAGGCTGTTGGCCATCTTTAACCCTCTTCGTTCCTCGTGGCTCAATTTTAATTTCCTTATCATGTTGTGGAGTGTAAGGGCCTTTCCCAGCCCAACCCCAGGCAGAAAGACACCGTGCCCCAACAAACCCCTTTGCCCCTCTCTCACAGCAAACCTTCTCCACTATGTATGAGTGGCCTATCTTTATTCCTAGTCCTTGGAGGTGGGAACTGTGATCATCCCTTCCTGGTCTGCGCACCAGGCATGACGGTGTGGGGTTAGTTCTTGAACTTGGGAGCCCAAGGCAGGAGGATCATGAGTTTGAGGCCAGCCTGAGCTAAAAGTGAAGGGCTGTCTCAAAAACAGGCAAGAACTAGAGAAGAGATTTGTCAGTAGACCCAAGTGGTCTCCGGCAGTTCTTCGTAATGGAATCATGCTCAGGAATTAATCCCATCCAATCGAAGCAATTACTGGAAGGCTGCAGTGTGAGCATGGTTGAGGTGTCACTAAGAGAGTGTGTGTTCCAAGTACCCTAGTGGACAGTGACCTTCGGGACCTCCCTGCATCCGGCTGCTGGGCTGCCAAGCTCCTGACGCTGTGATCCTGGCCCTGGATTAGTTCATTCCCTGCTTTGGGCACAGCAGGCCTGAGTCCTGGGAAGGTTAGAGTCTGCAGACACAGTGAGGCAGGGCAGACTTGGGGTCAGAGCAGGAAAGGCCAGTGCTGTTTCCCAGCTATCTAGCACCTACTTCCCGACTGGCCTTGCGGGCACTGTTGATCAGTGCTGGGCTGAAGGCTTGACACAAACAGATTGAGTTTGCTCGGTGAGTGCCCTGGATTTCTCCTCCAGTCATGTTTCAGCTTGCTTGGACATGGCTGCTTGGATGCTGTCTTCATTACTTTTCCAGTTGCTGTAACAAAACTTGACAAAAGCAACTTAAAGAAAAAAGGGTTATTTTGAGGCACAGTTCAAAGATACAGTCTATCAGTGCGGAGAAGTCCTGGCAGCAGGAACTCAAAGCAGCTCACCACGTGGCTTCCACACTTTGGAAGCAGCGTGGGACGCACACGGTGCCCAGCCCCTTCCTCCCTTTCCTCCTTTGTATTCAGTCAGCCCAGGAGGTGGTGCCACCCACACTTAAAGTGGGTCTCCCCACCTCAGTTAACCTCTAACGTAGATGCTGCTTCAGCGACATGCCCAGATGCTTGTTCCCATGGAGATTCTAAATCCCACCAGGCTGACAGTCGAGATGAACAGATGCCGTCTTGAGGATTCAGAAGCTTGCACCGCCGTGGCAGAAAGGGATACCACAGTCTTTAGCAATATCTGGCTCAGAGTGAGAGGCAAGAGTCACACCCTTGTGCCACACACCCACACCCCAATTTCACTTCTAAGCTCAGGCTTTGGGGTCTGGGTGCTTTGGGACTGAACTCTGGTCTCCTGGGCTTCACTTTGCTCTTCTCTGAAACAGACAGGTGTGGGTTCAGCTCCTCGGGATGCCATAGCCTAGAGAATTTCGTTTTTTCTCTTTCACTGTAGAATCCAGATAACAGTAAGCAAGTCCGAGCTGGGGAAGGTGGGCAGCTCTGCTATCCTCAGCTCTGGGGGCTCCCTTCCAGGACCTTCCCAGCCAGAAAGAAAGAAAGTAGGACCCACGGTGCACATATCTATTGTCTCAGAGGTGACCTGGAAGCGGCCCACATCTCTGCTCACGCATGTTAAAGCAGAGCTTGCTGAAATGTGTTTGGTTGTTTGGTTGGTTTTTGGCCAGATGTTCAGCAACCACTCTTATTGGACCAAGAAAGCAGAAAAGAGTGTGATAAGATGCCCAGCGGAGCTTCTGGGCACTTCAGGTTTGGGAAGCCTGGCATAGTATGTGCCTAATTGGCACCTGCCAGGTCTTCCCAGCACTCACAGCTACTCCCCTCCCACCCAGGAGCTGGTGATAATCCTACACAAGGCACTGGAGGCTGCTCAGCAAGAGAAACGAGCATCCAGTGCATACCTCGCAGCCGCTGAGGACAAGGACCGGCTGGAGCTCGTCCGGCACAAGGTGCGGCAGATCGCGGAGCTGAACCAGCGAGTGGAGGCCCTAGAGCAGAGTCGAGAGCGCCTGGTGCATGAGGCCGGCCTGCGGGAGCAGCAGGTGCAGGCGCTTCAGCAGCAGGTGCAGCTACTCGTGGATAAGAACCAGGCCAAGCAGCAGGTCATCTGCAAGCTCTCCCAGAAGCTCACAGAAGACCTTGCACAGCCCCCCGGCCAGCCTGCCGAGGCTGCCAATGGTGACTTCCTGAGCCAGCAGGAGAGGGTAGAGCACCTGAAGGTAGGTTCCACTGCCCTCCACCCGGCATGCTTTCCTCAACTCTGGGGAGGGTGCCATGTGTGGTTTTTCTAGTTGGGGCAGAAGCTGCCCCTTCATTCTGGAACATCCAAACCGGAACTGGGTAGCAAAGAGAAAAATCTCCCCTCCGCCCCTCACTTTCCGAAGACCCAATGCAGTCTGACCTTTCATGTTGTGCTGGGCCTCTGGAAAGTGAACAGGCTCCCAGCTTATCAGTGTAGAGCTGAAGGAGCCCGAGGATAGCCCAGTCTGGGGCCTGGCTTGCACAGCCTCCTTCTGTTGTCCAGGAGCCCAGGCTGGCCTCCATGTGTAGAACATGTAACCCATGCTGGTTGTGGGCTGGCCCAGGACGAGAGCAGTCACCACTGAGGGATCCTCAAGAGCCAGGGCCACCTCCAGTGTTCACTGTATCAGCTCACTGTGGCCTATGCCATCCCTGTGAGGCTGCTAGATGGTGGCTTCCTGCTTTGTAGCTTCGAGTGCTGAGGCTGAGGGTAAAGACGCTTAACTGGAGCCGAGCTGGGAACAGAACCTGGCTGGATGTCCGCTAACTGCTCTACCTGCTCCGCAACTCCCAGCCTCTCACCACCTTCAACGCCTCACCTTGCTTCCCTTCTCTGTCCTCAGCTCTCTCTTCAGGCCCTCCGGACAGGAGGGTTTGGGACATCATTTGAGATGTGATACCTGCTTCGGGCCACAGGCTTCTCTCAGTGTGGCCAGGCCTGCCCAAGCAGCAGCATGCCTCAGGCTAACGACAGGTCCTCTTGACCCTAAGGACAACACACAGAACCAGCGCCAGTGTGGTCCCAAACACTGCCTCATAGCCTCCCATGTTCTTGCACAACTCAAAGAACTGCTGGCTGGTGGGAGGTAGAGAGAAAGGGGAAGCTTCTGGGAGAAGCACTAGTGAGTCAAGCATGGCCACTGGCCACCCAGTGAAGTAACACAGCCATGGCGCCAAGTCCTACTCCGTGCCTTCCTAGCTGAATGGCTTTGGTCAAGCTCTCTTTCCCCTGCAGGAAGTGGCTTAACTCTTCCTCAGCTTGAAGAATCTTTAGGACAAAGGAAGGGGACTTGAGACCCATACGCCCTTCCCTGCCAGCCCAAACTAGCAGGGCCTGCTGTTGGCCTGAAGTCAGAGGCTATTTAGGGATACAACAGAACAAAGAAGAGCAGAGGCCTGCCAGAAAGCCCCTGGTCAGGCGCATGCTAGTGGGAACGCTTCTTGTTGCGCTGTGTGCCTTTGCCTTCTTCCTCATCAGGTGTCCCTGTTCCAGACCCCATAGCTCAGCACAGGCCTGAGACATAGATCACTGGGATGACTCCAGAGTGCCAAGGGCCACTTGAAATCCTTCTTCCCCTAGGATCCAGAATGTGTTCCTTAGTCATGTCTGTGAGGAAACTCGCCATCCTGGGGTCTTATGCTGGTAGGTCATGCCCCTGAGCCCAGTATAGAGCTGCATGGAGTACGTGCGTCTTAGTTGCCAGTTCTTAGGATGCCCATCAAATGCCCTTCATCATGTGACCATAGAGAATACTCACAGGGCTTGCCTGAGACTGGGCAGCCAGCCCTAGGGAAAGGCCCTCTTATCATTTCAAGGGTAGTGTCAGTGATGTCTTGAATTTCAGAGCTGGAGTCGGGGCGGGAGCTCAATGTTATCAAACCAGGCTTGTAATCCCAGCACCTAGAAGGGAAGTGGAGGCAGAAGGACCAGGAATCCAAGGCCATCCTCAGCGCAGAGTTTGAGGCCAGAACTACATGAAGTTCTGTCTGGGGTGGTGAGGGGAACAGAGCTGGGAAGACAGGGATGTCTAGCCATGCAGGTCCACTGCTGGCAGGTAACTGACGCATGAGGGGGACAATGGGCTCAGATCAACATCATAGGCAGCAGAATTATGGTAGACTCCCACACAAGCATTTCCCGCGACATCTGATGTCTGTCTGTGATATCTGATCCTTTGCAGGAGGCAGCAGGCTCTCCTCAGCTGGGTGTCTTCTCCTGCATGTTTTCCTCTTGCCTCGCTGTGACTCTGTGTGGCTTTTTTCTCCTCTGAGGTCTCTCTTTTTCTCCCCTGCAGTTCTGAGCCAAGGAGAGCACTCCAGGTAGGCAAGGTCGGACACCAAGCTGCTGGGAGGCTGCCCAGCTCACACCCACCTCCCTGCCTGGGCACCTCTCAGCTTCCCTCTGACCTGGGAATGGGCTCCCTATATGACAAACCCATCTTCTCAGAGTCTGAGAGGTGCCCGTGCTGAGCCTGGGTGAGGAGGGGTTGGGAAGATGGAGCAGGACTGGGCTCTGAGCCGTCAGTGGTGTTTGCTGAGGGCCCATCATGGCTGACGCGGTGGGGATCCACCCCAGCTGCATCACTGAGGGGTTTACCTCATCTGTAAAACGGGAACAATGCTACTCTAGCCCTTATCGCTCGCAGATGGCACACAGTGAGACTACAGGCCTGACAGAAACTTTATTCTCTCACCTGGATGCTTGTGGCTCATCCCAGGTGCTGGGGAAGAATCCCCATGAGCAGCTGTGTAGGTGCCCCACAGACTGAGGGCGCAGACGGTCCCTGACAGCCATCTTGTATCCCTCACACATGGTAACTAATAGAAGACGCCCTAAACCCAGAACCTAGGACTTTTTCCCCCAGCAGGAAAGGAAAGGCTTTGGTTCTTAGAGGATATGAGTGGATAGCGTGCTTGAATGGCTTCTAGAATGTTCTTCTCAAGCGAACAAAGATCATGAGCCACAGCTGTAGGTCTATATGGGACCTTCCTATGGCTTCCCCAACTTCTCAGCTGTCCATGCAGGAAGCCGTCACTCCCTACGCTGGACCGTGAGAGGAAATCTCAAAGCCCATGGCTCTTTATCCTGGAAGCCTCATACTTAAAAAGCAGCTGAAACGCCCAGGGCTCACATTTTAAAACATTGAAAAACAAAACAAGGACTAAGTCAGCTGTAGGAAATTACCCAGTAGAATAGTCATCCTTCGGGTAAATAAATAACTGTTGGACCTCGGCATGGTGGCACACAGGAAGAGGATGAGTTAGAGACCAGTCTGGGATACATAATAGGATCTTCTCAAGAAAAGCAGGGGAGGAGCCATGTGTGGTGGCTTATGCACATTGCCGAAATCTGCACAGCTTTGGGATTGACAGGGACAACAGAAAATCTGGGCTGGACTGGGCCAGTGTGTCTGATGCACCAGTAGCCTGGAAACTCACAGAGAATGAGGAGGCAGTTTATTATATACAGCACCAGGGGGAAGCCTTGCCCCTCCCATGGGTCTAGGCCTCTGTAGCGCTCGTTTTGTAAAACCTGCTTTATTTGGGGTGTTTAGGCCTCTACCTCCCTTCCACCAACTCCCCAACCCTAGGTAGGAGAGAGGTTAGTGGGGAGAGGGGATCAGACCCCTTTACTTTTCCCCTTCTCTCGGGCCTCTCCAAACTGCTACATGCCACAGGCCAACACCACGTCTTTCTGGGCTCTCAAATTTATATCCTCAGAGCCCTAGACCACAGCCCTCTCCATGCCATTACCAGCTGGCAAAAGCCACACCCCACAAGAGACAATTAACAGCTGTGCCGTGGACAAACTAGAGCCCAGCTAAAATCCCACACTTGGGATTAAAACAAAAACATATTTACATAACATGACTAAGTTTACAAAGAAACCAAAACATCCATTACAAGTATTGGCACCCTTGCCATGCCCCTGCTCAGGACTGCATCCACTCTGCACAACCTCAATGTTAGGATTTAGGAGATGAAAGCAGGAGGGTCTAGAGTTCAAAGCCATCTTCAGCTTTGTAGCAAATTTGAGAGCAGCCTGGGATACATGAGACCCTGTTCAAACAAACAAAACCAGAAAAGAAAATAGAAAAGAAGAAGAAGGGGTTGGGAGTGAGCAGAGCCCACACTCAGATGCCACACAGGCATGTTAGCGCCTCAGATCAGAAGTACGCAAACAAAGGAAAGCCTTGAGTATCACTCAGTCATGCTTATGAGGTGATACTTGACAAAAGCAATCCACACAAAGCTGCAAGGACCTGACACTGTGACCAATTAAAAAACAACCAAGGCAGGGCTAGGGGCTGTGCCTTATCCTGGAATTTGGGAGCTGCAGTCAGGAAATGGAGGAATTCAAGATCATCTGCAGCTACTTGGTGAGTTGGAAGCCACCCTGGGCCAGCTAAGTCAACAAAACAAAGCAACCTGGATGTAAGGAGACGCGGCGCTTGAATGCTTGCTGGTTTCTGTCACTTGAAGCTACCTGTAGGTCATGTATTCTCCCAGCTGCCAAGGGGAAAATTTATATCCACCCTTTCACAGATGAGAAAACAGAGTCAGAATGGTTCAGAGATGGCAGCCATCTTGAACTCCAGGCCTAGGGCTCTCCCTACCACATCTTGCCGGAGAAGTCTTTCAGACTCCCTTTCTGTGTCACTTTTTGGGAATTTCTCAAGGAAGGAAGCTTTGGCAGCTCGCTTGAAGGTGACTTCTCCAGAGTCACTGCTGACCCACCTTGCTTTTTTCAGGATGACATACAAGCATATCAGACCCAGAACCGCTTCCTCAACTCTGAGATCCACCAGGTCACCAAGATCTGGAGGAAGGTGGCAGAGAAGGAAAAGGCCCTGCTCACCAAGGTAGGAGGGACTGAGAGTTCCATGTTCCTCCCTTCCCTATCCCCACCTTCCTTTCCCTAATCCTCTCAGGCCTGTCACCCCTGTGGCTGCTTTGCAGGAGGTAGACTGACATAGGGGGCGCTTTGGAGTCTGAACCTGAAATCCCTGCAGTATCGGGGACAAGACACAGGAAGGTCTCAGTGAGCGGAAGGAAGTAGGCAGGGAGAAGCCAGGAGGGTAGGAAAGCCAAGGGCTCCCAAGATGGTTGGATCAAGTGGTGCCTGGGTAGGGCTACAGTGGTGCAGCCTCACCAGCGAGGCCAAGATGGGAACTGAGCTGGCCCAGCAGTCACAGTAAATGCTCCAAGGCAAAATTCCACCCTCCCCATCTCACAGAGAGACAAAAAGCAAGGCACAGAAAGGCACCTGAGTCCCCTGAAGCTATCTGACGTGTGCACTGAGGTGGGGGTGGGGTGGGAGTGCAGGAGCGCACCTCAGGCTGAGGAAGAGAGTGCTTAAAGCCCAAGGAAGGAAAGCAGAAAGCAGGGGCCGGCTGCCACCTGCAGGGAGCTGTCTCTGTGCCCAGTGCCTGGCAGGGCTTTACCCGGGGCTGGCTGATCCTTGCCAGATCCCTGCGCTACCCCTGGTCTATAAAGGAAGGACCTGAGGTACAGGGTGAGCTAGCACATTAGCTGACTTGTCACAGGCCACACTACTTGCAGTGTCGGAACCATGATGAGACTCCAAGCCTGGCGTGAGCTGTGCTACGTCTGCCTGCCCTGGCTTCCCCTCTCCTCGTTTTGAGCCAGCTTCCTCCTTGGTCCTGGGTCTCTTTTGCTTCCCTGCTGCACAGACTCCTCTCTCTAACTGCAGGTCCAGGAGAGGGGTGGGCAGGGAAAGCAGAGCTGGGCGGGGTGTAGCTGTTCAGGGCTTTGGCAGCCTGAGCGGCCCAGAAGCCTGAGCGGCTGCTCCACTCCCACAGTGCGCCTACCTCCAAGCCAGGAACTGCCAGGTGGAAAGCAAGTACCTGGCTGGACTTCGGAGGCTACAGGAGGCGGTGGGGGCCGAGGCCGGCAACTTTCCTGAGCTGCTGCAGCAGCTGGTCCAGGAGGCACTGCAGTGGGAAGCAGGAGAGGCCTCCGACAGCGTGGAGCTGAGCCCTGTCAGGTGAACCCAGTGGGCAACCAGGGAGGGGCTGTTGGCATGCTGAGATCATTGTTGCTGCTACCGCTGGCCAAATATGCCAGTACTGCACAGCTGTGGACTCCCAGGCTCAGGCACATAGCGTGCGGGGGTGGGCTCGAGGGAGGCACAGACCACGGGGTCACTGCGCTCACCGATTCCCAAGCTGCCTCCTGCAGGCCAGACCCACGCTGAGCACAGCCAAAGTGGGAAGCTGCGTCTGACGGCCCCATTGTCACTGGCAGGGGTAGGCCTGTTTTGCTTTGTGTCCCTAAGCAAGTCACTTTTCCTCTCTGCACCCCCTAATCAGCCCCCCCTCCCCGTGTAATGTGGGTACAGAGCCCTGCCTCACAGGCTCCCTGGGGACGACTGGGGAGGCACAGGCAGGACACAGCGAATTGCGGTCAGTGAGGGCCTCTCTCCCGAGCCACACGCAGGCCCTTCTGTTTACCAAGGGAACCGCCGCCCTCTTCAGGAGGCTCTCCCAACTGTACAGATAAGCACACCGAGGCTGGGCTCTGGCGTGATCCCGGTGCAGCCGGGGTGCAAGCCCACCAGGGGCATCCGCGCTGATGCGGCCCTCTTGCCAGCAGTGAGTATGACGATTATGGCTTCCTGACGGTGCCGGACCACGAGGTGGAAGACCTGAAACTGCTAGCCAAGATCCAGGCCTTGGAGGTGCGCTCCCACCGCCTGCTGGCCCTGGAAGCCGTGGAGCGGCCACTCCGGGACCGTTGGGCTGCCCTGACCGAGCTGGTGCCCTCAGCCGAGCTCAAGCAGCTACTACGGGTAGGGGTGCCCCGTGAGCACCGTCCACGTGTCTGGAGGTGGCTGGTCCACCGCCGTGTCCAGCACCTGCACTCTCCGGGCTGCTACCAGGAACTTCTGGGCCGGGGCCGGGCGTGCGAGCACCCCGCTGCCCGGCAAATCGAGCTGGACCTCCACCGGACCTTCCCCACCAACAAGTACTTCACCTGCCCCACCTCCAGCTTCCCCGACAAGCTCCGCCACGTGCTCCTGGCCTTCTCCTGGCACAACCCCGCCATCGGCTACTGCCAGGGCCTGAACAGGTGGGTACCACAGTGGTGAGAGCCGGGCTTCTCTTCCCAGTGCTACTGTCTTGCAGCTCAGGGCCCAGGAGCCTGTCCTCTCCCCTGACAGACAGACAGAGGCCGTGTTCGTGGCTGAGACGGGCTGGGATTCAGGTCCTCGGCCTGTGCCCTGACTTGATGGAGGGAGGTTCTACCTGGGGAACTGTCAGGAGTGGCCTTCTGTGGCCAGCCTGGCTTACACGTGGCCAAAGAAGCTGGGTCAAGATCATGTGCCCAGAGGAGTCCAGAGGACTGGGAGTTTGTAAATGGTTCAAAGAAAGCAAGCAGACCTGAGGACCAGACGCTGCCTTGCATGCCTGCTTTCTTCCTTTGCATTCCCTCCCCTTGGGCCTGCCCCATCCCCTCTGCAGCCTCACAGGCTCTGGCCTCTCCCTCGCCACACCTTCATCCCGTCTCAGTAGTGCGGCCTCTTCCACTCAGCAGCAGAGGGAGAGGGATGAGGTTGAGGGTGGAACCACTCAGCGGGGGTGCTGGCTGCTCCCTTCAATGCTGGGGCACTCTCCTGAGTACCCTGGTTATTGCCATAGAAATTTCAGTCTCAGACATCGCCCAAAGCGAGTTTGTCTCAGCTTAATTGGAGCACACACATCCTCGAGCTAAATCTCCAAAAGCTGCCTACTCTCCAGTCAGAACAGGTGATGTGTGACATCTACTTAGCCCAGAAGCAGCGCTCAGGATGTCCTCTCTCACATTTCAATGGGTCCCAAGGGCAGAGATTTTCTATATTCCTATTCCCAGTCTCAATGTGAGTGAAACTGAGCACGTGCATGTAATTTCTGGGATTTGTGAGGTGAACTCCCAGCGGTCACGGAGTGCAGTCCGCACCCCTCAGCAAGACTGTCAGGATGTCTTGCTGCACTGCCCGGCACAAGCGATGTCTGTGGGCAGCCTGCCCACTCATTACTAACCTGGCAAGACTGTGCAGTTCTTTCTGAATGTGTTAAACTCCAGAAGGCACACACACAAAGCTTCTTTGGCTGTAAAGGGGCTGGTAGGATGGCCCAGGAGGTCAAGGGGTTGGCTGCCACACTTCCTAATGGAACACAGATAGCAGAGGGAGAGAATCAACTCTCACGAGTCGTCCTGTGGCCTCCACACTTGGCAAACTCACGTTACCATGATACACACGTGTGTGTGGCTGGAGAGGTGGCATCTTAGGGTTACTATTATTGTGGTAAGCACCACAACCAAAAGCAGCTTGGAGAGGAAAGAGTGCATTTCACCTTACTGCTTGTAGTCCATTGTCCAGGAAAGTCAGGGCAGGAGCTGATACAGAGGCTGTAGAGGAGCCCTGCTTGCTGGCTTGCTTCTACGGCTTGCTCAGCCCGCTTTCTTACAGCACCCAGGACCACCTGCCCATGGGTGGCATCACCCACAGTAGACCAAGCCCTCCGGCCTCAAACACGAATTAAGGAACTGCCCCACAGGCTTGCCTATAGGCCAGTCTTAGGGAGATTTGGTTTTGTTTTGTTTTTCTCATTTGAAATTCCTTTTTTTCCAAATGACTCTAGCTGTGTCAAGCTGATAAAACTAGCCAGCATAGTTCGGTAGTTAGGAGCACTGGCTTCATGTACAGAGGACTAGGATTTGGTTCCCCACAGCCACCCATAACTCCAGCTCTAGGGGACTGTCGCACTCTTCTGGACTTCATGGACACACACACACACACACACACACACACACACACACACACACACGGTGATGCACGCCTTTAATCCCAGCAATCCAGGGAGGCAGTGTCGAGATTAGATGGGTGGTAGGTTTTAAGCTGTGACCTTGAAGGGGGGAATGGGTGCCCCATTTCCCAGCTGAGCCCTGAGAGGTTGAGGAAGCGATCCATGATGCATGACAGCCCAGCAGCCCCTGGCCCTGTATTGGCCCCATTCTAGTAGGAGGCCTTGAAGTCAGCCCCAGGAGCAGAATGCCCTGATGTAGAAGGAAGCACAGAAGGCCACAGGGAAACAGGGAAACAAAAGGGGCAGGTGGCTTTCAATATGTCTCTCTATGCTGCCTTTATTTCAATTGATATGCAAGCACACAAAATCGGTATTCACGCAAATATTTATACTATTGCTTTAAATAGAAAGCTATGTATAATAGAGCCTGCCTGGATCTCCAGAAAGGTGTGCTTTTGCTGCTGCCAAGTCCCTTATGGATGTCTATGTTGCCATCTAGCGGTCAACCTTAGAACTGCATGCATCGTGTCAGAATAAACCGTTCACCTAAGGCAACAGGGAGCTTAGCTTGTTCCTGAGGTGACACAATGTGGAAATGTCTAATGCCAACTTGACATCCATTCCTCTATAAAAATGACTGAAGTGCACTAAATGTACTTCTTCCCCATCTTCACGCGCCTCTGCAGGCCTGTTTGGTTGGTGTCCCATGGTAGCCCCGCAGCAGTGGGGAGCTCTGGTGGGGGCTAGCGTCCACTAGCTGGCCTTCTGTATGCAGAAGTTAAACCAATACGGACAGCAGCTTCTGATCGGAGGGCAAGCTGGGCTTTGGGGGAAGATGGGCTAGGACAGACAGCAGCAGGCTGGACTTCCTGGATTGTGTTCCCTCCGCTGACTTGATCGTAAGTGATGGCCGCCTTTGCCTTCTGAGTTCCAGTTTCCTATCTGTGCCGTAAGAGGTTTGCCTTGACCAGAGGTGGCCCACAGGAAGAAGCTGCTGGAGACCTGTTTGAAGGGATTTCTGAGGGTTCTGTCCAGGCTCAGTAGCAAAAAGGTCCATGATCTATTACATATGTCTGTCCTGGGCATTGGTGGGTGGTAGTTGACACACAGGGTATTTTCTGTTCTTGAACCCAATGACCTCTGCAGGTCCCCTCCCCCAGCTCCAAAAGGGCAGAGCCTCCTAAGTCCCGGGAGACCTGCTGCTGTTTTCTCTCTTTGCCCTTAGCTCAGACTCAGGAGGTTTGTGTAAGCATGTGAGCCAGAGCGGGGAGCGGTCCCTTCCCAGTGGGCTGGGAACGGAGGAAGGAAAATCATCCCTGGTTCTAAACGTCAGGAACCTCAGAAGAAAATGCAGGTCATGACTCCAACCCATGATGAGCCCCAGGAAGCATAAATGCCTGGCCCTGAAAGGGCTCAGCAGTGCAGGCTGTGGTGGCACACACCTGTAGTCCCAGCACCTGAAGACTGAGGCCGAAGGACCGCAAGTTCTAGGCCAGCCTGGCTATAGAGTGAGACTCTTTTTAATTAATTAATTAATTTAATATATATGAGTGCTCTATTTGCATGTACACCTGTAATACATTATAATCCCATTATAGATGGCTGTGAGCCACCATGTGGTTGCTGGGAATTGAACTCAGGACCTCGGGAAGAGCAGCCACTGCTCTTGACCACCGAGCCATGTCTCCAGCTCACGAGACTCTGTCTCAAACAAAACCAAATAAGTTTTAATAAAAATAAAAATCAAAGCATGCCTTTAATCCCAGCACTGTGGAGGCAGCGACAGGTGGATCTCTGAGTTTGAGGCCAGCCTGGTCTAAAGAGCGTACAGAAGGGCTCCGCGGTCCCCAGCGCCCCCTTGACCAGGGTCTCCCAGGGTCTTGTTGCTGTAGGATATCCCGAGGCTTTGCTGAGACTGAGCACTGTGAGCCTCCTAGAGGGGCTGGGATGGGCAGTGTTCCGCAGATGTGGGACCCTGTGCTTAGCAGGGTCCATGGAGTATGTGCTGAGGGACGTCTTCTTGGGTTGGCCCTGGATGTGTCCCCTCAGGGAAGGTGGAAGAAGCAGAGTGCTTCTCTGGGGAAGATGGCCACACTCAGCTGTAGGCGGGGCTGTGCTGCCCCTGGTCTCAGAGGGACCTCATGACTGGATGGAGGAGCAAAGGAGGAAAGGCTGTGTGTGCTCAGCACAGGGGTTTGGCGGTGACTGGGGCATGAGCTCCGCTCTCACTTGAGACCACACAGCTCTGATAGGTGGCCAGGGTCCCCAAGACTCTCAGGTGAAGACAGCCAGTACTTACCATGCCCACACTGCATGCCACGCACTGGGCTGGACTCCAGATGCACTGGCAGCCAGCAGGGCTGACCGTTGGTCCTCCCGCAGCCCTGATGCTTATGAGGGAGCTGAGGCCTGCGAGAGGCCATGCAGGAAACAATCCTAACTGTAGTTCACACCCAAGCAACCCAGCCTTAGAGCCTCCGCTCTGAATCACTCCTCGAGGCTCTAAAAGTCAACCTGGGCATCCTCCCCCGAAACGGGTGTCTCACCCCAGGTGCCATGACTACCATCCTGGTACAGAAGTATGGCTGGGTCAGTGCCCCATAGGAGGACTTGGCCCAGGACCCAGGATGCTGCCTCTGCCATGCAGTGCTGCGCTGCTCTGGGTCACTCCAGACTTTTCCTTCTGCAGGCTGGCGGCCATCGCCCTGCTGGTCCTAGAGGATGAGGAGAGTGCTTTCTGGTGCCTGGTGGCCATTGTGGAGACCATACTGCCGGCTGAGTACTACAGCAAGACCCTGACTGCATCCCAGGTGAGCAGTGTGTGTGTGTGTGTGTGTGTGTGTGTGTGTTACCCATCCAAGGCAGTCCCACAGAAGAGTTCAGGCCAGCAGATCCTGGCCTCCACCTCTCCTACACAGGGAGTCTTTAACCCCTCCGTCTCTGACTGCTTACGTTCCCTTGTGCTGGGGCCTGTAAGACTGTGAGGTCCTGTCCAGCAGCAGGTGTGACATCCAGTGGTGATGTCATACCACCAGGAAGAACTGCTTCCTGGGGAGGGGAGGCAGAAATCAGTAACCCTTGCCATCTCCCAGAGAGAGACCACAGGCTGGTGGGATAGGCAGTGGGCTGGGGGTGGTGACCGCCAGCCCTGACCATGCTCGTGGTTGTGCCATATCCCTGGGGAGCACTGCTGCTCTGAATCGGGGCTCTGTGACCTCCGCCTATCATCACTCCAAACCCCAGGCCGGCCTAGCATAGGAGTAAGGTCACTTGGTGGACCTAAAAGCTGTAAGTGCAAAGTCATGTCCCAACCCCACTTAATTCTTGCTAAGGCAGCCCTCCCGCCTCGCAGACTTCATCCTTCCTACTCCAGCTTCCCTCCTCAGCTCTCTTCCCTCCTTCTGACACCCAGCCCCTCCTCCTGGGCGGCCCTTTGGATAGCAGGAATCAGGTGCGGCCGCAAGGAGAGCCAGCTTGGACTTAGAAGGTCGAGGAAGGGACAGCATTTGGCCTCACAAAGAGAAAGGGCCTAAGCATGATCCTTGATGCCACTGAGTCAAGCTCTTCCCAGCTCCCTACTCTGCCATCCTCACCTTTAGGTTACAAGAGGGCTGTACTGCCCTTACCCTGTGGCCATGGCATACACCGGAAAAAACAGGTAAAGGGTGTTGGCTCTTTCAGTCTGCAGTTTCTACTTCCTGCTTAAATCTTAATAGTGAAAACTGTATCTTAGGTCTGTCCCTGGCTGTAAGGCAGGCTGGGAAATGCCATTTTTTTCCACCTCTGGATCTTAACGTCTCTGAAAGGGAGATGCACTGAACACCAGCATCAGGCTTGCCTTTGGTTTTACTTTGGTCATGGAGAATTTGCCACATTCAGAACAGCAGAGAAGGTAGATGGCCTGGACCCCACCTGGCCCCTGCCTTGACTGCCGTGGTGTGGAGGACAAGCAGTTCTTGGCTCCACTTCATCGCAGATCTGCTGGCTCACCATGGCCTCTGGGGGAGGGGGCAGGGTACCCCTGAGTACTCACCATAGCAACACTGAAGCCTGGGTGGACTTGGAGAGACTTAGCATGGTTCTAGGCAAGGAGGAGCAAGGAAGGGACACAGATCAGGACATTGCCAAGACGATGGAAGCTTTGCTAGGCAGCAATCAGCCGTGTCCACTGAAACAATAAGCCAAAGCCACCAGGAGAGGTCACTAGCAGCCACTAGCGGTGGCCTGCAGCTTCCTGCTTTAGATTCCTGCTACCTGATGTGGCGGGGCCCTGCACCTCCCATCAGTATCTGTCTTGGCCATCATGGGTCCAGAGAAGCAGCCTAGAAAAGGTGCTCTTCATTTTTGTGTCTGAAAACATGAGACCAGTTGATTGCCAGGAACTTTAGCTGATTGAAGGGACCAAGAACTTTCCCATGAAGAGACGAATGGCAAAGCCTATTGCTTTGCCTAGGTGTCAGGGGCCATGGCGATGTCACTGCACCACACACACACACACACACACACACACACACACACACACACACACCCTGTCCCCAATACAAAGCAGGCCCACCCAGCAGCTCTAAGTTGGGGTCTGAAGAGCGGGCGGAGAGGGAGCCAGCAGGAGTGACAGGCCTCTTCTGCCTCCCAGGTGGACCAGCGGGTACTCCAGGACCTCCTCTCAGAGAAGCTGCCCCGACTGACCGCACACCTGGGGCAGCACCACATCGACCTCTCTCTCATCACCTTCAACTGGTTCCTCGTGGTCTTTGCAGACTCTCTCATCAGTGACATCCTCCTGCGAGTCTGGGATGCCTTCCTCTACGAAGGGACAAAGGTGCGTATGTCTGGGCCCAGCCGCCCAGCCAGGACCCACAGAACAGAACGACAGCCACCTGTCAGGGCCATTTGGGACACCTGAGAGTACAGCTCCTTAAACTGTAAAGTGCTCTGTGCAATATGAGAGGAAGCAGTGGTCCCGCCTTTGAGGCTTGGGTCTGGTCCATACCTTGCCCACAACTTTGCCAGGAGACCCACCAGCAAAGATACTACTGGTGTTCTAACGCCCTTGACTCCAGCAGGGTGTGGCTCCTCGTGCCTTGTTGTAGAGACAACAGGCAGAAAGCAATGTTCCAAGCTGTGCTCCCTCTAGGGTCCTTTGCCGCCTGTGCCCCTGGCTGCTCCCACACCTGTGCCTCTAGGCTACCAATCTGGCCTGCCCGAAACCTCCACATTCCCAGAGTCCCTGGCCTTCTCCCTGAACAGTACCTGCCTGGGCTCCTGCGCCCCACCTGAATCCCCACTGTGCCCTAGGTGGTGTTCCGATACGCTCTGGCCATCTTCAAGTACAATGAGGAGGAGATCCTGCGGCTGCAGGACAGCCTGGAGATCTACCAGTACCTGCGCTTCTTTACCAAGACTATCTGTGACAGCCGGTGAGCTGCCCGTCCCACAGCTGCCCCTCCCGGGGTCCTCCCTCAGCTTGGGAGTCGGTCCTAAGGGCATTCTCCCTTCAGCCCATCCGAGTCCTTTTATGGCAGGCAAGCTCCCCAGCCCACCTTCCCCCTGCCATACCCAGGCTGTGGGACAGCCAACCCAATCACCAGCTTTGCCTTCTAGTTTCTCCAACCTGGAGCTTCCTGGCCCCTTCCTTCACTGCCACCACCATCTTGAACCTGGTCCCTCTCTTCAAAGCTAAGCCTCCATGTCCCTCCTCCAGGAAGCCCTCCTGAGCAGCCCTTCCCTACTGGGTCAGGCACCTGCCAAGCTCCCTCTAGCCTCGGCTCCGGGTGGGAATAGTCTTTCTCCCCTGGAAAGTGAACTCCCGGAGACAGGGCCATCATCCCAGGGTGGGTGTCAGGATGGACTCCAAACTGGCAGTCACCGCACTGGCTGACTGTACCTTCCTCTCAGGAAGCTCATGAGCATCGCCTTCAATGATATGAACCCCTTTCCCATGAAGCAACTGCGGCAGCTGCGGGCAGCCCACCAAGAGCGACTAGAGGCTGAGCTTCGGGCACTAGAACTGCTGAAAGCCGAGTACTTGGAGAGACGGGCATCCACGCACAGAACGGTGCCCGAGGGCTGTGTCAGTGAGGACGAAGGAGAAGGCGATGGCTGACCTGCCACTCTGTTGCCCAAAGCCTTTCTTACCTTTGCTGGCAGGAGGGTAGAATTCAGGCACGGGCCAGAGGTCTCTGTGACTCTGGACAAGGCCCTTCTCCTCTCTGAGCCTTAGTATCCCATTTGGACACTGCTTTCTGTGAAGCCACTGGTTAGAGTCGCCTTTTAAGTGTCCCGGGCTTGTCGGCCTGTATCACGGCCCCACAGCACTTTAACATGTAGGGAGGCAAGAGTGCATGCACTCTGGGCCACTGGGCGCTTTCTCTGGGGCATGACTGGGGCGTGATTTGGATTTGGTCTTTTGAGACCAGGTCTCCTGGAGCTCTGGCTGACCGCAATCTCACTATGCAAATGAGCCTGACCTTCTGATGCTCCTCTCGGAGGCATGGCTGGCATAAAGCAATGTCCCTGTGACTGACTGATGGCTCTCCTTTAGGTAGGACAGACGCATTCTCATTACCTGTGTTCCTGGGCATAAGGTGTGAGGAATGTTCCTTCTGGCTCAGAGCCTTGGTCACCATTCTTATGGCAGCCCAAGTTCAAGACATGTTTTCAGGACATCTGCGTTTCTGGGCTACTGCCCCTCTGCAGTGCCAGCTGGATCTAAGTTGAGGCCACCCTGACCACGGGGACTGTTTCCGGAGCCTCATGCCTGAAACTTCCCTTCTGTTTACAGCCCGCTGGGGACATCCCAGGGGAAACCCTGCTGCCACCCTAAGGCACTTGATGGGGACTGGACATCAAGTGGGACCAAGCAGGTATCCACTCTGATGTGCCCCTGTCACGTGGGGCCAACAGGGTTAGGGGGGCGAGGGGGCTACAGCCCACCTGGCTCAGCAGAACGAGTTGAGCAGTTTTATGGCCCAACACAGCCCTGTTCTCCATCCTCTTCCTGGTCTTTTCAGCTGCCCCTTCCGAATGTCCTCCCCACCAGGGCAGAAGGCCTGAAGGCGCACAAGGGGTTCATATCTCACCAAACTGGGCCTGCAGTGGAGCCTGGAGATGGCTCTTAGAGGCTGGGGCTCTCTGAGGAGTCTGTGCTGGAAACCCCAGGGTGAAGGTGCTTGCGGAGCTGGGTCCACACCCACTGCAGTACAGGCCCCGTCGGCGCCTGAGTCACAGTGTGAGCCTGCAGGCTTGGCATGGCCGGCACACTCTCACACCAGCTCCTGGCCTCAGGATTCCTGTGAGCACCCGGCACCCGCGCTTGCCTGCTGCCTCTACTGAGGCCTTTTCACCAGCAGACAGCTTCCGTGAAGTGGGAGAACGAGTAGGGGGGAGGCCTTGGGATCCTGGCTGCAGACTGACTGGCACAGTGACCCTAAAGTGAGCCACCAGCTAAGGGGGCGGCCTCCATCTCACAGAGAGTGCTGGAGGGAGAGCGCTGACACTAGGGCTTGGTGCAGTGAAGCGCGCCACGGACGCAGGTAGGTGTTGTCTGGCTCTCCAAGAAAAGACCACCAAAGGCCAAAAACAGGTCCAACTGGATAAACAGTACCTTCTCCACCATCAGTTCCTCTAAGCTCTCTGACCACCCCCACCCCCACCCCACCTCACCTTTCTTTAGAGGAGGACTCTGCCCAAGGCCTTGTGCTCCTGGGGAGGGGGCCAGGGAGTGGACAGACTAGCGTTCTCACCAAGCCACGCCTTAGAATCCTGGGCAGGCTTTGTTCCAGCAGTGCTGCTGGACCTTGTGATCTGCTGTTGGAGCCATGGTGTTCTGATAACCCTGGGAGGATAAGGGTTCTGGAACTAATTCCCTCCTCCAGCCCTGAAAGAGGAAGCAGACTGAGGACTGCTTGTCCCACAGCTCTCACCCAGGGCAAGCCCCAGCGACAGGGCACAAAGAATGTCACACAGAAGAGGAGGGCAGGAGGGCCTGGCCTGTGACTACCTGCGGGCACATCCAGAGGGTTAACTAGGAAGAGAAAAGGGGCCAGGTGTAGTGGTACACACTGCTGATCCCAGCAGGTCCAGCACAATCTGGGCTACGAAGCCAGACCATGTCTCAAGAAACAAATAAACACGAGGAAAACAAACGTGCGTCTGGGTTGCTTGAGCTGGAACGGGAATGAACAAGGGGTGCAGGGTGGGAGCCTGGGAATATCTGGGCTGCTGCTAGGGCAGAGTTGGCCCCTCCCTCAGGGGCCTGGGGCCTCCCCCTAGTGTCAGGTTCCTTGCTCGCCCCACAGCTGTTGCCCCTTCCCCAGGGGCCAGTGCTTCCTAGGCTGGGGGATCTGATCCCACAGCCCCACCTTCCCACCCACAGAACAGAGATGGGACTCCATGCTTCAGCCCTCCCACCCCTGGGCCAGCAGGCCTTATCATAGAGAACAAAGGGACTGGGTCTTGGAGACCTGATAAATGCCTCAATGGGTGTGGGAGGGGCATACTCCCAGACTACTTTGTTCAAGCTTATGTCCCAAATAGCCCTGAGGGGGGGAAAGTCTTCTCTCAGCAACCCCACACACACAAGAGACCCTGAGTAGAAATAAATGGAAAGTCAGTCTGCCTTGGCCCCCCAACCCCAACACACCCTATTGGGTCTGGTAGGTTGTGTCCCTCCCTGCTCAGTGTCCCCTTGTGTGTAACTTAGGAGTGGTCAGGGGCAGTCTTCCACACCTGAGGCAGGAATGGGAGAAGGTAAGAGGAAATAAGGCCCCTCTCCAGACACAGAAAGGGAGTGCCAGGTTCCAGGCTTCCCCTCATATGCCCATGGTCCCCAGAGAATCCCTGTCAAACAAGCCTGTCCCAGGACTGTCCCAGCAGACAACTGGCCTGGCATCCAGGAACAAGAGTTTCTTAGAAGATGATTCTGAGAGAGACCCTCAAAAGGAGATGGTACAAGCACAGGCTTGGGGGAATGCTATTGGGAGAGGGGAACCAAAGAGCCTGGCCTCAGCCTTTAGTGAGTGGGCACACTCAGGAGTCAGCCTACTCCCAGAGAAAGTCACGTAAGAAACACCTTAGTGGGCCTAGCAGAGACAGGAGGATGAGTTCAAGGTTTATTCTTAGTTCATAGGCAGTTTAAGACTAACCTGGGCTATGCGGGACCCTCTCTAAAAATAATAACAACAAATGGACCAGCAAAATGGCCAAGTAGGCAAAAGTGCTTGCTGCAAAAGCCAGACAGCCTGACTTCCATCCCTAGGGGCCATGTAAAAAAAGGTGAATGCAGCTCTCCTGCTTGGAGAAGGGAGGCAGGAGAATTGCCTGAAAGTCCGAGGGACATCTAGCCAGGAGCATGGGCAGAAACAAGAGACCTTGTCGTAACAAGATGGAAGGAAAGAATCAGCTCCTGAAAGTTTTCCAATGACCTCTACGCAGAGGCACATGCACACACATAGACACACCTAGAAAAATGATTAAAATGTTTTAGACCACCGTGGACTCATGAGTGCAAAGGTCCAACTGCTGTGTGTCCACATCCTGTGTATGCTGCGTGCCTTCTGCCAGTGCAACTCCAAGAGGCTTGGTTTGGGGCTGCAGAGGAGGCTTTAACGTGGGGAGCCCTCAGCTCCAGGCAGGGGAGTGGCCCAGGACACTGATTCAGGCAGGACCCAGAGATAGGCTCTAAGGTGACCAGGGCCTCACCAGAGATGTGTGGTAGTGAAATCCTATAATCTCAGCTACTTGAGGCTGCGGCAGGAAGACAGATAGTTCAAAGACAACCTGCGCAACTTAGTGAACCCTTGTTTCAGAAAAAAAGGAGGGGTCTCAGTGTAGCTCAATGGTAGACTACTTGCCTGGCATGCACAAGGTCTGCATTCACTCCCACCATCACAAATGCATGCATATATATATACACACACACATTAAATTAGCTAACAATGGCTGCCAAAACTGAAGTCTCAGCCGTGAAATGGGAGTAGTAGTATGACTAGATTGAAGGGGTTGATAATGTAATAATAATTTGTGTACTTACTCAACTACTAGGTGCCAGGTAGTAGCCTAGCCCCACCATCGCAACCAAATACATTACTACAAGACACGAAGAACTCTTTCCAAGACAGGTGGTGTGGCGTGCTTATTATGAAAGACGCGACGTCCCATCTTCCACGTTCAGTGAGCACAGGGCTGAAAGCAGACAAGGCTGGGCGGCAGCGCCCCCTACTGGCGTCGGCAGAAAGGGTCTCCGCCGCCCCCTCCGAGTGCGCAGCCGTCCTCCGCTCTCCGGTTCTCCCGCCGCCTGCGGAACCGCTGTCCCGGCGCTCGCTACGGGATCCAGCCTGGAGCCAGCTGGGAGGCAGGCGCGGTGACTGTCTCCATCTCAACAAGGGAAAACCGAGCATCGGGGTCCGAGTCCCACCCACAGACTGCGGCGAGGGCGTGCAGGAGGCGGCGAGTGTGCGCGGGGGACGATACCCTAGCTGCGGGCGACGGGCGGCGCACAGGCGGGGCCTCCCGGTCCCGCCCCGCCCCGCCCCGGCCCCTCCCGGCCCGGTCCCGCCCGCTGGGCTGCGCGGGGAGGCGGCGGCGCTGGGCGCGGGGACTCGGCGGGCGGCGCGAAGCGCGGAGCGAGAGCCGGAGCCGCCGCCGCCGCCACCTGCGCGGCCGTCAACAAGGTAGGGTGGGACCGGACCGGGCCTGGCGGGACGCGCACTGCGCCCGGGCTGCGGCCCGGCGGCGGGAGGGATGCTGCCCCCGGCGCCGCGGAGACCTAGCCTCCAGACCCCGCACACCTCACACAAAGCCCTGCCCCGCTCCGGTCCTCAGTTTCCCCAGCGGGATAGTGGTGCGGCCGCCCCTTCAGGGGGTGACTAGGAGCAGCGACCCCCAGGTTCGGGCTCCAGAGGCTCGGGGCCAGTCCGCACCGCCCGCGCCTCTTGCCGCGGTGAACGGCCCGCCCTGGGCGCGGCAGCCAGTCTCGACAGGCCACGGTGTGGCCCAGGTGCCCGGGAGACCCAGGTCGTGATTGTTCCGGTCCTTAGCTGCGTTACCCGAGGGGCCTTGGCTTCCAGTCCCGGGAAACCGCGGAGGAGGAAGCATCCCCACGTCCCTGCCGAGGCGACCTGGGCGCGCGGGTGGGGCGAGCAGTCTGCCAACCCAGACCAGCCTCTTCGCCTGGAGCTGGAGGAGGAGCCCCGCGCTGGCGGTGGCCAGATCTCAGCCTCAGACCTGTCTGGACCCGAGCCGAGCAGACACCCACCTGCATACGTGCAACGGCGAAGGGACAGCCTGGTCCGAGCCCTGGCCAGCTGCCCAAGCCCAGTTCTGTGGTCAGGGTTGGTCTGCCACACTCGAACCTCAGAGAGTGCACTTGCCAGCAGGACAGTGTCTCCTGTGGTTGGGGGGCAGAGCACGTGTTTAAGGGTGCAGTGGCCCCAGGGTTTGTGGAGACCTCCGTCGTGCCTCCGGATCTTCATCTTGTGTTGCTTTCTTCTTGCGACGGGGATCTCACTAGCTGAAACTGGAGAATCTTCTCCCACTGCGGCTGTGGTCCTGCTAGTACCCCTTAGGCAGGCTCTGGCCCTTCTGCCCCAGAGCCTGCCCTTGTGCCCATGGTCCAGGTTCATAACCTCCTGTTCCTGTCCTTAGGCTTCCTCACCTCCTGACCTCTCCTGTGCGATGTAGAGGGAGAGGAGAACCTGGCTCATGTCTGGACCCTTCTGCCTCATTTCCTGACATCTGCCCCAATTAAGGGACAGGCTTATTGCCTCCTGGTCTTCTCTCTCCCTCCTCCTCACCCAAGGGCTTTCTTAGGGCTAAAAGAGGAGAGTCCCTCCCTCCCCGGGCCCCAGCTCAGGTGGTACACCCTGTGTCATCCTAAGTAGCAAGTAGCAAGCAGAGGGCTGGGTAGATTGTAGAATGCCATGGGATTCCAGAGCTGAAGCAGAGTGGCAGGGACCTTGCCCCGTGGCCCCCAACCTGGAGCTTCACTGCAAATGAGTGTTATTATCCCCTCATAAAAGGAGACTAAATATAAGCGTGGCTGCCAGAGCCCAGCGCCAGCGCGAAGGTCTAAATACTACCTGAGTTCTCTGTCATTGCGTACGTGTGTGAACTGGGAGGTCACTGTGGCTGGTGCATGAGTGAGGCAGGTTCTGGCTATTACAGGGCCGTCCTGTGCTTTTAAAATGTACTGTGGAGTCGTGCGCTAAACAACCTGGAAAGGGGCTCCAGAAACCATCTCATCTGGGGCAGGAGAGATGGCTCGGCGGTTAAGAGCACTGGCTGCCTTTCCAGAGGAACTGGGTTCAATTCCCAGCAACCACGTGGCAGCTCACCACTGTTTGTAACTCCAGTTCCAAGGGATCCGACACCCTCACACAGATAAATGTACAAGCAAAACACCAATGCATATAAAAAAGTAAATAGAAGTTATTTAAAGAAAAGAAAGAAACCATCTCATCTAATCCCCTTATGTTACGGGTACATATCACTTGTCCCCTTCAGGGACAAGTGTGACTAGTAAAAGGCCACACAACAAACCAGCCAGAAATCCTAATGCCAAGAATGGAGTGTTTTGAAGCTAGGATGGAGCTCAGTTGGGAGAGTGTTTGCCTAGTGTGCATGAAGCCCCCAGTTCCACCCCCAAAACTGAATAATAGACCAAATATGGTAACTTGGAGGTGGAGGAAAAAGGATCAGGAGTTCAAGACCATCCTCTGCTACAGATTGTGGTCAAGAACAGCCTGGGATATATGAGACTGTAGCTCTAATTTTAAAGGGGGCGGGGGGAGTAAAAACATGCCACAAATAAAAGTCTTATTGTTTGTGAAAGCAGCAAGCTATCAGTGTGAAAGATTTGCCCAAGGTGTGTCGTTTTGTAGGGTAATCTGGCAGCCATTGAAACAAACGTCTATGAAATGGGTCTCCCTGCCCCTTGCTCCAAGGCCTCTCCTTGGGGACTTTACCCTAAGGAGGTCACTAGCGAGACATGGATGTATTATGACTCTTATGAAGCTGCCTGACTGAAGAAGCCTGCTGAGGCTTTGGAACATTTTATTTGAAAAGAAAACACAGTGTCAAAAGCAGCAAGGTCTAGGAAGTGGGAACGGCCTTGGTGGCGGCTGAGTCTGCACAGTCCCGCAATAGGGCCTTTTACGGCAGAAGCAGAGCCCTCTGGACATGCAGAGATTGTGCCATCCTCCCTACCCAGAGATAAACGTGCTTCCTCAGGGAGGGATGCCAGGTCTCCACGAGGGTTCTGCTTGAAGCCTTTGCTCTTTTCAAATGCCCTGCTTTAGACCTTGAGGCGCTTTCCCTCTTCCCTGCGAGCCATGGAGGAGCCCAGATGACAGTGCTGTGTTCATTTTGAGGCAGGGGCCTCTTCTTCAGGACAGGGAGGAGACACTTGGCCATCCTTCTCCATCTGACAGGTCAGGAATCCTCACTCTTTCTCTGGATGCCTCCTGGGCATCTACAAAGTGCTTACACATTAGCTTAAACCACTCCAGAAAGGCTTATATCCAACTTAAAGAAAGAAAAAATAACAATTTTGTGTGGTTCAGCCTGAGTAGAAAAGGATATAATTAAAGATCTGATTATGGTTCCTTACTATAAGTGAGCCACAGGGTGTGGTGGGGGACAGGGAAGGTGTGATCAGAGACCACACCTTGAAGTAAGGAGGTCTTGAGACAACAAGAGTAACGGCAACCACAGGGTTGCTGTCTGTGGAACAACACTTGCTACCCCAGGCCTGGTCCCCAGGGCCTCCCCAGTGTTTACCAAACAGCTTCACTGTAAGAAGAAGAAGCCTTGAATACATTTGTAGTCTCTCTGCTAGGGAAGGCAGAGGGTGGCAAAGGAAAGAAAACAGGGCAAACGGGAGAGAATGAAGGAGAATGACCACAGAAAAGGGGAACAGCCGCTTTAGGTGGGTGTCTCAGGGTCTGTGAGAGGGTGACTTGGGCAAGCAGGGTGGAACTGTGGGAAAGAGACAGTGAAAAGCCCTTGAGGTGGGACAGTGCTGAGAGGAGCAGGAAGGCAGGGGAAGAGTGACAAGAGAGGGCCAGAGGCCACGGCCCTGATTAGCTAAACCGCCTCTCCTGTGTGCAGCGTGGACTCCTACAAGTTCATTTGGGAGGTACTATTTTTAAGCTCCTTTTTCATTTTAAAAAAGCAAGAGGTACAGAGAGGTTTCAAAACTTGCAACACTGTCTTGGGAAAGCTAAGGCTTCCTGCCCAAAGCAGTGAGAGCCATTCGAGCTCTTGAGTGGGGCCAGGGCATAGCCCCCTCTGGGCACTAGTGTTCCCCTGAGATTGCTGTGGTCCAAATGTTCCTGTCACTGCCAGGTTCATTTGTTGAAACCACCGCTGCCAAGGGGATGGCACAGAAGGGGTTGATTAGGTCAGAAAAGCAGACCACTTCTGATGAGGGTTCATGTGGAGGTCCCGGGAGACACTCCCCTTCTGCCCTGGGGACACATAGACCAACAGGCACCCTTCCCTGAACCCGGAAGCCCTGCCTCACACTTCTGGTCTGCAGCCTTATCTTGGACTCTAGTTAACAGTGAGGACTGCCTTGTGTGACTCACAGGCCACCAGTTATGGCACTTTGTTACCAGGACTCAGAGGTGGCTCTCACAGGAGTCTGGACCTAGGGAACAAGGGTGGGCCTGTGATCTAGGGGCAGAGAAGCGGTTCAACTCCATGTTTGCAGAACAGTGGAGGGGCCCAACAAGTGAACGGGTGGGAGAGGGGCACAGGCTAGCTCAGCTTCCTGACTCTGCTGTTGGTACTAGCTTCTTCTCTAGGCTGGTGAAGGGTTCACACCCATTAACTCCAGCCTTCTGAAGCAATAGGTGAGGGTTTGAGGATAGAGACCAGTACCTATTTATCTTTCCCTGCGTTTCCTTTGTTTCAGTTTTGATTTTTTTTTTTTTTTTTTGAGACAATGTCTTTCTCTCTACTCCAGCCCAGCCCCAAACCAAGTACTGTGGCCCAGGCTAGACCTGGACTCACAGCAGTCCTCCTGCCTCAGCCTCCTCAGTGCTGGAATTAGAGGTGTGAGCCACCATGCCTGAATTCTCTTTTTAAAATGGATCTGTTATGCTGTAGGAAGATTGTATCTCAATAAAGTTAACTTACAAAGAATATGCGCTTGGCTTTTCTGCTATAAATATTTGATATAAAACATTAGAAAAGGACAAAAAACTAGAAAATTAATGTCCCGTGCCTCCTTGTCCCAGGAAATCAATGTGAACACTCTGGGGGCTTCCTTTCTTTGGGGTACTGCCATCCTCGTTTTGCAGATGAGACACTAAGGCCTTCATGTTGCCCAGGGGCTCACTTTTGTACCGTGCCATCTGCCTGTAGATTCCTGATAAGGCACTGCTCTCCGAGTCTGAAGGCAGACCCCGCCAGAATTGGTGGCTTTCACTGAGACTCCTCTGTGGAGCATGAGGGACCTAGTCCAGGGTTTCTGTAGTGACTGGAGTCTCATTCCAAAGAGAAATCAGGGCTAGGAGAACCTATGTGGGGTTCTCATGACAGCTGCTTCTAGGTTGGCCTTGAGCCCAAAGCTTGTAGAGGGCTGGCAAGTGGCATGACCCCTGGGAGTACTGGGGACTTAAAGGAGGCCTCGGCCACAGTCTCATCCCTCAGCCCTCATTGGGAAGTG